TATATAATAGTGTATATATGTTCTATAATATAAATTATATACTATATATTATAATGAAGCTGATACAATTAATCATATATGATATATAATGATATACAATACTTTTATACTGTATTAAAGCAATTATGACTAATATAATTTGCAATTTAATTAGTAGAATTCAATTGAAATGATAATGACTCAATTATAATGAAATTATAATTGACTTGAGAAATATTAAATATATATAAAAATATCATTTGAGGTGGAAGAAAGATCAACTAAAGTATATTCTTTAGAACATAAAATCCCTAAAGAAAGTGCTGGCAGTATGGAAATAATCCCTGTCCTGCCCCCAGGCTCCAGACACAATTCCTGGGATTTGTTGTACAGAACACTAAGCAAAAGGGCCAGGAGAAGCCTTGGGCACAAAGGAGTTCATTGGGAGAAATGGCAATCTAGCAGTGTGGGCAGAGCTCACCTGACATCCTAGTTTTTGTGGTTTCCAGGGATTTAATGGTGGTTTCTCATCAGAACAGAACGGAGCAGCTGCAGGAGGCCTTGAGGCAGAAAATGAGGAGTGAAGATAACTGGAGGGAGAAGGTAATCCTGACTGTGCCATTGGAACCCTTTGGGTTTCTGCTTTCCTTTGGGGTTTTTCAGTGCTAGGCAAAGGTCACAGTGAGCACAGTGAGGGAGGTACTCATTTCCTCAAGTGCCACATGTGATGGAATCAGAGAGTCAGTCTCATTAAGGTTGAAAAAGGCCTCCAGGATCATCAAGTCCAATCTGTGACCTGTGACGCATCAACACCTTGTCAACTAGAGCAGAGCATTGAGTGCCACATCTAGTCATGTCTTGAATGGCTTGGGTTGGAAGAACCTTAAAGCTCATCTAGTCCATGGGAAGGGACACCTTCTACTAGCCCAGGTTGCTCCAACTCCATCCAACCTGTCCTGGAATACTCCCAGGGATGGAGCAACCACCACTTGTCAATAGTATCCTTTGTACAAGGAGCTTTTCCAGCTGATCTCTCTACTGGAACTGAGTTCAAAAGTGTTTCAGTGTATGTTCAGAGACTTGACAGGTGTCAGGTCTGGTCTGGACTTCCCAGGCTCCAGGATATTTGGGAAGTGCCTGTTTTAGGGGAGCAGCCCCTGAAAGTCTGGCTGTGAGACTCCAGCTGGAATCAGAGTCCAGCTGCCTGTCCCTCCCTGTGGGATTTAGGAAGCTATTTACCATAAACAGCTGTCACCATGTCAACTATGTTTGCATATGCAACTTCTTCACATGAGCACCAAATAACCCCAAGCTGAATATAAGAAATTAAACTATTTATATGTCTGTGAAGGGAAATTTAGAAGTAGTTGAAACTAGCTCTGACTTGTCTGACTTGAGCCTTACATAATTTCTGCCTAAAATGACTGTTATTTTTTGCTTCAGTACTTGATAAGTGTCTGAAAGGTTTATTTATTCTCAGGAAGATTTGGGGACCAGCAGCAATGCAGATCAGTTACATCTCTCTGAAAACATCTTCACCTCCTTGTCACAGGGTATAATTTTAGCAGGAGGTCGTGCTGGCTGCATGATCACAGAGTGCTGCTCAGCCTGACATGGCAACAAGATGAAGATTGCTGGGAGGGAGCAATTACAGCTCTGGTGTCACAGCCATTAAGATGCAGCACACAGCAAGTTGCTCCCAAATGTGCTCATCAGCCCAAGGAAACTGCAACGTGACTGAGCGGCAATGTTCTCCTTGCCTTGGGTCACTGTGCCACTGGGGAGTGGAAAGTGGTCAAGTTTGCTATTTAAATTAGAGATAAACCTTCAATTGTTCTAATGGAGCATAAAAAACCACTTTTAGGAAGTACTTTAAGAGACAATCAGAGTAACATTTAGTGATTAAGATCACCAAGACCAACCTGTGACTCATCACCATGTTGGCAACTAGACCAGAGCACTGAGACCAGTTGTTCCTTGACCTGTCTAGGGATGGTGACTCCAACACCTCCCTAGGCAGCCCCTTCCAATGCCTGACAGCCCTTTGCATGGAGAAATTCCTTCTGAAAAGATAGATGTAAGCATTTAATGGAGTTTTTAAACAATTAATGATGTGCGTGTAAGTGGCTTTAACGTAATTAGTGGTCACAATGTTTTCTTGGAAGATCAACTGCAATTGTATTTCCTGTTGTGGTTAACAGCTTTGAGTTAACCTCAAGTCTAATCCTTTAACAGCTTCAAATGTTAAATGTGGAAATGCCTGTGAAATCTTCCTAAGGAGCTCAGGGGTTTGTATTGTCTTTTTTTATCTAGTCTTTGGAGTCAAGTAGCTTCCAACAAGTGATCTGGGTCTGTGATATTGTGTAGAGATGATAGTAATAAGAAGGAGATGGAGGAGGAGAAAGAGAAGGGAGAGAAAGAGTAGGAGTGGAAAGAGAAGGTAGAGAAGAAGAAGAAGATGAGGAAGAAGAAGAGGAAGAAGCAGAAGGAGGAGAAGAAGAGGAGAAGAACAACAGAAGTCTACTTTGATGATCTTACAAATACACCAATTTTAAGCCAAACCTCAGTGGGGGATTTGCACCTGTTCCACATCCAGATTTTGATCCATTTGGATATAAAAAATAATGACAATATTTCCAGTTTATCTTTCCCCCCAAAGACTTAGGGAGATTTGTTATACTTCTGCTCATAATTAGTGTGTAAAATTAGATAATTGTAATTAAGCTCATTCTGGGCTCTTCTGCTTTTAATAACTTGGAGTAATTAGGTTTGTGTTGCGCATTTAATGTGCCTTTCATATGCTCTCAGCCTGCTGCAATTAGATCCATTAGAAACCAGCCTGCACCAGTGGAATACTCACATCCTGGCTTAGGAAAAGTGTTTTCCTTAGTGTACAGCTTTCAGTATTTCCTCACAATCCAGGGAATTGTGGCTGAACTGGAGGGGCAGAACACAAGGAATGGCTTCCCACAGCCAGAGGGCAGGTTAGATGGGATATTGGGAAGGAATTCCTCCCTGTGAGATGCTGAGGTACTGGCACAGATTGTCCAGAGAAACTGTGGCTGCTCCATCCCTGGGAGTGTTCCAGGCCAGGTTGGATGGGGTTTGGAGCAACCTGGGCTTGTAGAAGGTGTCCCTGACCATGGCCGGGGTAGAATGACTTGAGCTTTAAGGTCTTTCCAACCCAAACCAGTCTCATTCCATGAATTTTAGCACATTGAATGTATCATTTTGCTGCCTCAGTAGCAAGCTGAGTTTTACCTCCAGAGCAAACACTTCCAGCAGAACAATCATCTGCTGTAAGAACCAGCCAAGGATTTTGTAATTTAGCATTTTCATAGGGATTTAGTGTGAAGTTTGCCTAAATTTAGGGATCTCTCACCACTGGAGTCACATGGGGCTGTGCAGGAGCCAGTGGGAAGCAAAAGCATTCCCTCCCCAGGCTCCAGCAGTTTCAGGCATTCAATGTGTCTGTTCAGCACCCAAAACCTCAGACTGGCAAATTTCACATCATTTATGGCACTGTGGGATGTGAACAATACTTGAGGCTGAGCTACTCCAAGTCATCACAAACCTGTTGTTCCCCAGCTGGAAATGGATGTGGCCAAGGGTGAGGCACGGCACAAAGAGGCCATGCTCAAAGTCAAGGAGGAGGCCAGAGTGGAGCTGGACATGGAGAGACAAAAGCAGCAGGAACTGATCACAAAATACCAGAGAGATCACGAGGAGCTCCAGAAGAAGGTATGTAATGCTCAGGAGAAATTTGGTGGCAGTAGATCTATTCCCAGTCTTAGTACATGGACTATATTTAACAGGTTTTTTTAATGGAACAGACTAAAAAGTGCCTATTTTAGCTCAAGTTAATGGTGTGAACATTCTGGTCTTGCATTTTCTCTACCAAAACTTCGTCTGTGTCCCTAGATTGTAGCTGTTCATTATTTTCAACCTGACATCATTATTTGGGACTGATCCAGGCTGTGAAGAGTTGTCCCAAACCCATCCACACTGCTCTCTCCCTTCCCAGAAGAATTCAGCTCCCATGGGGTGAGCCCCAGTGGCCATTAAGTGCCTTCTGGGCTTACTGGTGGTGGCATCACGTGGGGTTGGCTGTTCTCAGCTCCCCTGGCCTCCAGCTTTGTATAGAATTTGAAAGCTTGTACCTTAGGCTTCAAAAGGTTTGACAGAATTCTTGAGAAATCTGGGAAAAATGAAAGGAATTGGATGAAATCATGTTGTTATTTAAATTTGTACTATTTCATGGTGTTTTAGAGCTGAAAATATCACTTTGGCTTCATTCACTGGACAAATATTTGCCTATGATTTTCAAACCCTGAAGTAAAGAACTTCAGTTTTCCCATTTTAACCTCTCTTTCTCTGTTTGATCTTGGACATGCTCATTAATCTCTCTGTTCTGAGTGAGTGTTGATTAATTTACAGCTCTCTGAGGGCATTATGTAAATCCAAAGCATTTTTTCTCTCTGAGGACATGTGTTTGAATTTTTTGGGTTTTTCCCCAAGTCAACATTTGTCTGATATTAATTCTTCATATATAAAGATCCTGAATGCAGATTAATGCAGTTTTTTCCACTCCCGTGCAGATTCCAGGTTTGATCTCCAGTGCCACCAAGAGCTTAAGGATGGAGACAGAAATCCTTGAGAAGAAGCTCCAAGATGCTCAGATGAAACTTGCAGAGAAAGATGGAGCTAAGGAGAAAGAAATTCAGAGCCTGAAAAGACTAATTAGCGAACTTGAGTTCCAGCTGACAATGGAAAAGAACAATAATGAATCATTTCTGGATAATCTGAGGAAAGAAATCAAACACAAGTCAGATGAGCTGGAAAAATTAAGCCGGGAGAGGACACAGCTGATTCACAGCCTGAGCCAAGTTCAGGAGGAGGTAGGAATGTGGCTGTTTTTACTTAGGGACATGTGATTTCTAAAGTCATTCAAAGTGTCGGTATTTCAGTCCATAAAACCCATTGAAATGCAAAGATTTCTGAGACAAGTCCATCAGAAATGCAGGAGAGCACAAAATAGGTGAAGTTCTAGTTCAGCAAACACTTCAGATAGTGTTTTATTGAAATAGAGATATTTTCCAGGTCCTGCAAGACATTTCTCTCTCAGTCTCTAATCTCACATCATGCTACATGAATGTAGTAAGAATTGAACTGTTTCTTATGTTTTTAGAGTAGAAGACATGGACATTTCTCCCTTCTCACTAAAGGAGGGAGGTCCAACCTCACACCAGTTCAGCCACTTTCTCTAACACTACACAAATATAGTAAACAATGAAGAATTCCTCATGTTTCTAGAGTAGGAGACATGGACATTTCTCATGGAACTGGTGTCCAGCCTCCCACCAACTCAGCCACATTCCCTAGCACAGGAATGCATGAAAATGAATCAGATGTGAGGAGAAATGGGACTGCTGGATGTTCTGACCACAAGCATTTGCTGAATGTTTAGAACAGAAGGGGAAGGGAAGAGAGAGCTGTGCTGCTCCATGAGAAATGTGGAGTCAGGGACTGGAGATAAGATTAGGCTGGAATGTCCAGAGTAACTGAGTGGCAGAAAGAAACTGGTAAACAGTGAAACTAAACCTCTTCAGAATGAATTAGGGCTTGGGTTGATATTTGTTCCTCCCTTGAAAAAGGTTCAGAAAGAGTGAGAGTGAAATTGGAGTGATGTTGGCAGTTGTTCTGACCTGACCTGGCTTGGGAACATGCTTAGTGGTGGCCCTGGCAGTGCTGGGTCAATGTTTGGACTCAATGGCATTAGAGGTCTTTTCCAACCTAAATAATTCCATGATTCCATACAAATTGTACTGTTTGCACAAAAGAGAAAAGTGCTGTAACCAAGTGGCTCAGTGACACTCAACCTGTGCCCGTTGCTTCTCCTTCCCAAGAGCAGCATTCCCAGCTGGAGGATGGGAGGGAGGTCAGAAACAGCTTCTGAGCACTTATCTCACATTTTCCACTAACTCCCAGGGAACAAAAAGAGTGTGAATGCTGATGGATGTCCTGAATGACTGGCAGGGAGAGCAGCACAGGGAGGAGCATGGGAGGGTTTATGTCAGGCACTGGAATATTGCCCAGGGTGGTGGTGGAGTCACCACCCCTGGAGGTGTTTGAAGGATATGGTTTGTGGCTTGGGGGTTACAGCAGTGACAGGTTCATGGTTGGACTTGATGATCTTAGAGGTTTCCTCCAACCTTGATGATTCTATGATGCCTCTGAGCAACCTGCTCTAGTGAAAGGTGTCCCTGCTCATGGCAGGAGGGTGGAATGAGGTGAGCTTTAAGGTCTCTTCCAACTCAGACCATTCTGAACTTTACCATGGCCACAAGCTGAGACAGAGGAGATTCAAAGTAGATATTAGAAAATATTTCTTTCCTGTTAGGTTGTTCAGGCACTGGATTATTGCCCAGGGAGGTGGTGGAGTCACCATCCCTGGAAGTGTTTAAGAGGTGTCTGGATCTGGTGCTGAAGGATGTGGTTTTGGGTTTATGGCAGTGACAAGTTAATGGTTGGACTTGATGATCTGACAGGTCTTCTCCAACCTTGATGGTTCTATGGCCTTGTGGCTCTCTCCAACCCCCTGACAGGGGATTGTAGAGAGGTGGGGGATGGTCTCTCCTGCCATGGCTGCAGGGAGAGGACTAGAGGGAATGGCCTTGAGCTGAGACAGGGAAGCGTCCCTGGAATATTGCCCAGGGAGGTGGTGGAGTCACCACCCTTGGAGGTGTTTAAGAGGCAACTGGACCTGGCACTGGAGGATATGGTTTTGGGTTTTGGGGTTCCAGCAGTGACAGGTTATTGGTTGCACTTGATGATCTTAGAGGTGTCCTCCAGCCTTGCTGCCTCTGTGACCTGTGGTTCCGTGTCCCTGTGCCTGTGTTTGTGCCTGCAGAACGCTCTGCTGCAGGAGACAATGCGCAGGGAGTGCGAGGAGCGCTACGAGCTGACGGCGGCTCTGACCCGAGCGCGGGAGCAGGTGCTGGAGCTGAAGAGACTCACGGGGACCTTCCCCTTGGTGCCACGGGCTCGGGGCAGCCTCAGCTCCTCCTTCACCCGGCACAGTCGCCCCAGCCCCGGGGAAATGCAGCTCTCGGCTATTCCCAGAGCCACCCAGACACTCACCCGCTGCAAGCACAGCGGCAGCAGCGCAGGATCCGCGGCTGGGAACCCCCCAAACCCCCCGAGGGGAAGGGCAGCGTCGCTCAACGAGCCCAGGAGCAACATCACTGCTGTGATCAGCCACCGCCTGAGCCAGCTCTGACAGCTCCACACACCTGGGCCACCTCTCCAGGCCTCCAAAGGACCATTCGCTTCGGGACCTCTTAGCCAGTGCAAGTCATCTGTCTCTGCAACTTAAAAGTGAGTCAAACTCGTAGTTATTCTGGTGCAATAATGTTGATTTGTCCATTAGTTGTGTAATTAAATGCCCTGCACATTCAAGATGAGAAGAGTAAAGGAGGACAAGTGTTGTTGCTCCAAGATGAGCACAAGTGTAAATAACATCATGGAATTACAGGTTTGGGTTGGAAGAGACCTTAAAGTTCATCCAGTTTCAACCATGGGCAGGGAATAATGGCCGATCAACATAGAATCCAGGTTGGATGGGGCTTGGAGCAACCTGGGCTAGTGGAAGGTGTCCCTGTCCATTCAAGGGCATGGAATGAGATGAGCTTTAAGATCCTTTCCAACCCAAACCATTCTAGGCTCTTGTCCACCAACTCACTGTTTATGCCCTATAGCAGCAGCAGTACTAAGAGTGACTGTGTGGCCACATAAAATAACAAGAGCAGGCACAAAGTCATGTCTTTAGCACAAGGGAGTGGCTAAATCCTGGATCCAAACGAAGCCAAGAACAAACATTTCCCTTCTTTCCCCTCCCTCGCTCCCTCCCTCCCTCCCAGAAGCCAGAGCTCCTGCTGCTAAGCAATGAGCAAAATATATAAATGTCAGGAAACCTTTTACTGCCTTTTACAAACAATTTCATTAATCTCACAAAGTCAAGGGAAGTTTGCAGAGGCTTTTTTGGGTGAAATGCAGCAGCATAAAGTGCCACAGAGAGCACCTGATTCTATCTCTGGCTGTTTCAGGAAATGGAGCTTCCTGGAGGGAATGTGTTGTGTAGGAGGTGGCAGAGACCTTGCACTCCAGGACTCATGGCATGAGGGAATAGGAAACAAAGCTCCAGACTTGGAACAAACCTTTCCCCATGTCTCCTGCCCTGCTGGCTGCAGGCAGTGTGCCAGCCTTTCCCTTGGAGAAACATCCCATGGCAAAGGGTTCTCTTGTCCCTGGGCCCCTGACTGCCCTGACAGAGCTGCTGTTGTTCCCTGCTCTGGAATAGAAGCTCCTACAGCCCTAAATCTTTCCATAAGGGATCAATCCCACCATGCCAAGCCTGATTCCTCTGGGCAGGAAAATCAGGGCCAGTAGTATTGTTGTGATGCTTTGGAGAAGATTTGTGTGAGTATCAAAAATCATCTGTGGCTTGACCAACTCTCTGTTGAGTCCAAAACCATCATCATTCCACCTGACAGGAGAGTGTAGCCAGGTGAGGGGTTGGTCTCTTCTCCCAGATAAGAAGCAATGGGATAAGAGAAAGCAGCTGGATTTCAAGCACTCGGCCTGTGCCTCATTGTGGGTCACCAATTTTCCAATTAATTGCCAAAAATTTGTGTTCTCTACAGATAATACTACAGATACTCCATGTCTCCTTCAACGGGAGATTAGGTTATTGCTTGCCATAGTATCATAGTTATATATGTCATAGTTCTATGCCATATGTAGCTTTTATTCCAATAGGACGTCACAAACCAAAGCAGTGATGTGCCTCATGTACAAAGGTGCCAAACCGCCTTGCCCTGAGGGTGAGTAGGATGTGGGATCCTTGACTGTGCCTTGCAGGTGGAGTTTGTCCACAGAAGAAGAAATTAGACTGCACAAAAAGCATCTTAGTTTCTTAGTAGCATTAAAAGTATGTGGAAATAGAAACTGATGCCATAGGTCATTAAAATGTATTAATCAAAAGACAGACTGTATTGTGTGTTTTTAATGCCAAAAAAAGAGCAGAAGAGGGAAACTGGGGGAGTTTCCTTTCTCAGACAAACCTCAGAGAGCATTATTGTCAGTTATTTAAGATAAGGATTTATTAACATCATGAAAACTTGATGCTGGATTTCATCTCTGCTGGTTAGAGGTGGTTAAATGGATCCTGCTGGAGGAAGAACAAACTCCACATGTACTGGTGTGAAACACCACTCAGAGCAGAGCACAAACTGAACCAGGATGGGCTAATGAAAAGGGCATTGCCAAAGGCTCGTGTGGAATGGATTTTAACGTCAGAAATATGATTTGGTGGTGCAGAACAGGAGCATCTGGCAGTGCCCTGGGAGCTCTTCCCAGGCCATGACAAGCCCTTCCATGGGCAGACTGTTGTCCTTGTGTCTCCAGAGAGATCCTCCAGGCTCCAGCATTGCCCTGCAGTGTCCATCTGGAGCTGAGCTGGGAGCAGTGCCAGGAGGTGACTCTAGTTCCTCCCAACGAGCCAAAGGATGGGGCAGGGAGCAGCCTGCCAGATCACACCTTCTGCCCACTGAGCCTCAGTGGAGCTCCTTGTAACCATGTGGAGGACACAGGTACAGTCAATTCCCTGCCAAGAGGTACAGCCAGGTAGGTTTGGGCTCTTTTCCCAGGGAACGAGTGACAGGATGAGAGGAAACAGCCTCAAGCTGCACCAGGGAAGGTTTAGACTGGAAATAAGGGAAAATTCCTTCATGGAAAGGGTTGTCCAGCCCTGGCACAGCTGCCCAGGGCAGTGATGGAGTCACCATCCCTGGAGGGATTAAAAGCCATGTGGATGTGGCACTTGGGGACATGGTTAGCTCAGGAATAAACAGACTCCACTTGGGATTGATTTATCTTCTGTTCACTGTCACACACTGAACAAAACAAGGCACAACATGGCTGTGCCAGAGCAGAGACTGTTCTGGTCACAAAGTTTGTCTGATGGCACCAGGAATGGTCACTGTTTTGGGTCAGGCATTGCATCAGCCTCTTCGGAACCAGAGTAAACTGTTTTGTGTGTCATAACCTGACAGAGTATAGCAGAAAAGAGCAGTCCTGAATCGCACAGCAGTTGCTGTCTACTCTTACTCTCCTGTTATTCATGTATGTTAATTTAGTAGGGTGTGGAGTGATACTGAATGATGTGAAAATTGTGTAGATGTCTATACCTTCTCAATCTCAATTGATTTTTAACTGTCAGGAACACACACGTCTTTTTTGCTCGTTCCTCAAACCAAGAAACATACAGGAAGGAGTTGGGTCTGAGAAGCCTAATGTAGCCACAATATATTTAATGTATTTTGAAGTTCACAGAATCAGAGAATCATGGAATGGTTTGGGTTGGAAGGACCTTAAAGAGGATCCAGTTCCATCCCCTGCCATGGGCAGGGATACCTTCCACTAGCCCAGGTTTCTCCAAGCCCCATCCAACCTGGCCTGGAACACATTCAAGGATGGAGCAGCCACAGCTTCTCTGGGCAACCTGTGCCAGTGCCTCAGCACCCTCACGGTGAGGAATTTCTTCTTAAAGTTGACAGAATATCTATCTCTGTTTGCCACTCCTGAGTGCTAACCTCATTCAGTTTGAA